TCCCGGCGGGCCTCGTGCTCCTACTAACTTGAGAGCAGAGCAGAGCGCGAGTCACAATCTGCCCAAGGCGAGGGAGGGCAAGAAAGACGCGCCAGAGGAAACCGACTGTACGAGGGGCACACGAGCGCTCCAGTCTCACCGAGCACAATTAGAGAAGTATTGGTGAACGTGGGCTATGCGCGCAACAAGGGGGGAGCGCAGTGTACAGAGGAGGTGAATGCATGTAGAGGCTCAGCTTCAGATTCACAACCACCTTCTTGAAGAGTCATTGTAGTGACAGAGCAAAGGAGTGAGGGAAGAGAGGAACTCCTAGAAAACAGCGACTCTTGGACAGGAGTACAACCTACAATCTTTAAAACAAGTACAATCTATACAATCTACAAAACTAAAGATAGGATCAAAGAGAAAAGCGGAAGAGTCGACTTTTCCTGCTTAGAATCTACTCTGGAAGAGAAAATGAATGTCAGCGAAGAGAACCTGCTCAAGTCCATCAGCAACGACGCGCTCCTCGACCTGACGCAGCGCTACGGGCAGTCAGCCTTCGGGTTTGGCGCTGGCCATGGTGCTGGAAGTCCCGGCCGGTACCCGCTCACACCGGCCAACGACTTCCTCTCCGGACAGACCGCCAAGTCCAACGAGAGCGGCGGGGAGCACACAAGCGACGACGAGGACGGCTTCGACTCGCTGGAGTCCCGGAAGAGGGGCTCATCGTTTGGGGAGGACAAGCCCGGGGGGCCCCTTGCCAAGAAGTCCAAGGAGCAGCGGTCCCTGCGGCTCAGCATCAACGCCCGGGAGAGGAGGAGGATGCATGACCTGAACGATGCACTAGACGGCCTGCGCGCCGTTATCCCCTACGCCCACAGCCCCTCGGTGAGAAAACTCTCCAAAATAGCCACTCTCCTCCTGGCCAAGAACTATATCCTCATGCAGGCTCAGGCTCTGGAGGAGATGAGGCGGCTGGTGGCGTATCTGAACCAGGGACAGACCATAAGCTCACCAATTCCCACCGCTCTGGCGCCCTTTGGACAGGCTGCCGTCTACCCTTTCTCGGGCTCTGCTCTGGCCACCTGTGCCGAAAAGTGCACCACTTATTCTGGGACACCGTCGACTCTCTTCAAACACTGTAACGACAAGCCTTGATTTGGTTCGCTTCTCTTTCTTGAACTTTTACCTACTGCCCATGTCGGTCTCTCTCCCATTCTAGTTATTTTTTAAATCATTCTGTGGAAAAAAAACCCAATTTTAGTCTAACGCATAATGTTAAGATATGGTTAGGTAATTATACTGCTGTTTTCATCCAGGTTTAAGAAGCGCTACATAGAAACCAGACTGTTTAGGCCTTCTTATAGGATGAATACAAAAACCCTGTCAGTTTTCTCTCGCTATGAGGCCATGTCCAAATTACAATTGTGGGCAAATTATAGGAATGCCCTTTTATCAGCTTTTATTTGTAATCTATGCAACATCAAATAACAATAACAAAAGCAGAAATGTCAAGAAGTGCGCCCTAATTTAGACATTTAGATTTAATACAGCTATTATGAAAGGACTCTGACTACTGACGCTGTGGGAAAAATCATTTGTAACACTGGCTGATATAATTTCTGAAATGATGTGTTGACAAGTGTGTCTTTTAAGTTATTGCACATCACACATGATTGTATTGTCCAACTGTGGAAAATAACTTGCTCCAAGCCCGGCTAGACTTATTGTTATATAACTACAGCCTATACACTGAAGAAGCGTTTTGGTTGTGTTGCAACATGGATTTCATATATTGTTTATATGTCTTTATAATTAAAATCATATCTATGCTTGGACCTGTTTGCTTTATTTCAACAACCATTTAATCATGTGTATATGATAGTTTAAAACTAAATGAAAATCTGTCTAGTTTTTAACACAGAGCATTAAAATAAAGGGATGTGTTTTAAAAATGGCTATAATATGAAAATGAAGAGTAAATTGTAACTCTCCATGGACAAGTACAAAGACATGGCTAGCCTCACACTGCTAAAATTCTTTCCAGTTCTCACCCTCTGAGTGGCCCTTCTAAAATGAGTTGACAACTTCCTTTTCTTGCACGAGAAGCCTATGACATGAAGAAATAGGTCTAAACGAGCTCAGTGGGGCTGGTGGGCGCACAGTGGGGTTGGTGGCGCTGAGGGGAATGGTGCAAAAGCTGCCCGGGGCACCCGGGACTTGTCTCTGGGTATTTGGGTGATTGCAGGCTTCCTTGACAAGCTCTTATACCCTGGACGGCTATTAACACGATTTCAGCTCCTGTCTCCCTGCTCCACTTAATTCAGTGAACCTTTCAGGACCAGTTTTCCTTTGCAAGTTGGGGAGTAGATGAATTTATTGAAGCATCTGAAAATGAATGTTTGAAGTGATCATGAGGTGGTGACAGGCTATTTATAACATATATGTTGGTTTCTTTGTGTTTGATTGTCTGTACTTGTCTGACAGCATTTGCCCTGAAATGAAACTAATACTTGCTTGTAGAGTCTTTGTCATTATTATATTGCCATTGTATGCAATACTGGTGTAGGTGCTATATTGTGGCCTTTTTTTTTAAATGAATCATTATATTTCCATTTAGATTTACATTTATATGACTTGACAAAAATAATAGATGCCTTGTTTAACTGTAGCCTGAAAACTGACACAGGAGATGTAGAAGATATTTGTCACTATACACAATATTGAATTATGCTTTCATTCCATTGATTTCTCAGACAGCCCACTAAATATACTTCTTTCCATCACAGCACTCCACAAAAGTTGAATGAGTTTGAGAACAGCAGCGGCATTAATTATTTATAATTATTTTTAACTCATGAAACTAAAGAAAATGGTTACTTTTAATCCCACAGGTGCCCTTCCTTAATCAGCATATCTATAATAATTTGTTATTTTTGACCAAACATTTTACATCAGGTCAGTCTGTTTCTGCTAGTCAGAGAGTGACTAAGTAATCCACCCCAGTCTTTCAATTACAATTTAGCCGCACGTCACAACAACAGGCATTTTAAATTGGCCCTCTGATGGCATGTCTTGTCTGCGGCCTCGCGAGACAGTCAGCGCAGCAGGGATGAGATGTGACAAATGCTGCCGATGATGGCAGGACTCGGGCCCTGTTCTCCATCAGGCTTTGTGCAGCCTAATTGCCATAAATGAGATGGTTGCCTTATTGCATGGACGACTGTGGTCATTCTTCCTCCCTATATGCCTCTAATGTCGAGCTGCTGAGGTATATGTTTTATTGTTCTGCCTTATTAACTTAACGACTGTCAGTGTGCATGTTGGCAGTTTGTCATTTGGCATGTATGACATATGTATACATTAGGAAAGATATGATTTTACTGGTCACATGGTAGGATTTACTGGTCCTTCAGCCCACCAGCAATTTATGATGTGTTTGTAACAAGTTATATTCAGTTTTCCATATATTAAGGGTTGTTGTTTAGTTAGGAATGTGTAGGCTACATTTGGTTTGTGTATTTTGCCTTAGATAAACGCCTGCAGCATATTAAAGCAATATCATTTAAAAAAGCAGTAAAACATGCCAGCAGCCTTGTATTAGTGTGTGTTAGGAACTTGTTTGATTTAATGGTACAGAGAGGTAACTGGGAAATGATACTGCCATTTTAAATCACTTTATTTTTAATAAACACAATGTAAGCCACTTTTAGCATTTGCATTTCCTGTATAACTTACAGTAAACTGTAGGCTCAAACTAATGCATTTGCATAATATAGAGGCAGCTCTTTAGTAATACAATTCTAAATACACAAACATACTTTGTTTCATTGGCTGGATGCAACACAGCAACTAGATCAGTGCCTGAATATGCCCTGGGCATGCCCCCTGCAGAAAGTCAGCCATGTGTGTCAGGATGTAAAACCCAAAAACATTAAGTGAATCAGGCTGCAATAATACAAAAATTCTTGAAAGCCATTGTTAAAATATGAAAGCGGACTACAATTTACAGAGAAAAAAAATGTCCAACAGCAAAAATAGCCCAGTTACATCTAACTGATCTGTTGTACCTTGGCAAAACATGTCACAGGCAGAACATTAAAATAAAGATACATTTTAACCTGCGTCATCACTGTCAGCTCCTCACACAAACAATTTTCCAGCCAGGCCGAGCATTCTAGATGAATGATGATCATTTTGTCTATAATTATAAAGTGAGGTTATACTCACATTGTTGCTGCCATTTATTTACATGGAAGGTTTTTTAAAAAACGCCACCACCAAACTGTTGCATGATAATATTAATTTGAGACGAGCTAAATTAGATCGGATAAAATAAATCAAAAATAATAACACTACAAAGACTGACTGACAATTTACCACCTATTCTTACTTACTGTTTAATGCTGACAGTGTCTTTATGCAGACAAGCACACAGCGCTGCAGTCAGGGCACTACCACTTCCATGACAGCCCAGTGTGGTGCAGGAATATGAACAGACTGTGTGATGTCTGCAAACATTTGTGTTTGCTCTCAGTGGGATAGAAAGGGAGTGATTTCATTAGCATGGCTTAGAGCTTTGAGGTATGGTTGTGTGCTTTTCTCCAACCCGATGGTATAGTACTAAAACCATATGCCCTTAAGTGTGTACCTCTGCCTAATGTATTTGACAGCGTTGTTTTCTTTAATTAAGTTCTCCCTCCTGTGTCTGATGCACATTGTAGCACTCCATCCGTACATACAATAACTCTGCACATAGACTGTACTTATACCAGGGGCCTTGGAGAAAAATGAACATACTTCAGCTCTGATTATGCTTACAGTGTGTGTGTGTGTGTGTGTGTGTGTGTGTGTGTGTGTGTGTGTGGTGGGGGGATACAGTACATCTGAGTCTTTGTGGATTCTGTTGTATGAGCGTTGTACATGTGGCTATAACAAGCACATACACACATCAATACAATCTCCTTTTCTGCCTGTCGCTTTATCTTTTTCTCTTCTGTCTATTCTGCTATTCCCAGCTGAGGGATGGCAGGGGGCCTCCTTTAGATCCACAGTTCTTATTATGCTGACAGTGTGTGTGGGTGTGTGTGTGTGTGTGTGTGTGTGTGTGTGTGTGTGGTGGGGGGATACAATTTTACACTTTTTTTAAATGAAAATTTACTCACAGAAGCATAGTTGTGGCTTTAGATGTCAAGTGACAAAAGATTTAACTGTTTCAGGCAGGTTCATGGGGGGAGGGGTTCAAAGGTGAAAAAAAAAAAAATAGAGTTAGACAAGTGGGTGCGTGCATGTGTGTGTATGTGGCCGTTCATCAGTGTGATGTGTGCTGGGTGATGGAAAGAGATCATTGGACAGGGAGGAAGAGATGCTGATGCTTCAGTGTTTTTGTGCTGGCAGTGGCACTGTAAGGATGGCCCCCACCTACCCATCATCCGCAGACCCCCCAACTTTTCTGCTCCGCTATGACATCACACCCTGTCATCCCTCCCAGCCCCGCCTTGTCGGAAGCGATGAGCAAGTGAGTCAGTTGGTTCCGAGCAGCCATGTGATTCAGGGCGACATTGCTGCAAATGCAGCGGGATGGGCTGGGGCCCTACATTTGTTAATCAGACATCTGGGGGTGGGGGGCTTGTTTGGATGCATCTGTGTGTTTGTGCATTGTGTGCGTGTGTGTGCATGTGTGTGTGTGTATTTTGTGCTCATATGGGTGCAAACCTTCAAAACATGGCAGTCAGGCAAAGCATTTTGCCTATCGCCACAAGGCGCCTGACACCACGCATGGTGGACCCAGAGAGTATGGCAGGGCCCAAATTGGGCCTGGTGGGGGGGAGCAGAGATGAGAGAGATGAGAGAGGGATGGTGTGTACAGCCCTGGATAACAACAGTCTGAGCCATTGTTGAAGGTGATGTCCAGTTTTGTGCTGAAGTGGCTCATCAGCTCTCATCTGTATGTTTGACAGTGGTTTATGTGCAGATAGATGTTGTGACGTCTCTCTTCTCAGGAGCGCAGCTGTGTTACAAGAGTTCGCATCCAACTTTGCTAAGGCCTGTGTTTTCTCCTCCTGTCTTTGCCGCCATGTTTCCCCTCCTCCTCCCACAGCTCCTCCCACCCCACCCTTGTTCTATCACTGTGCTCATCACTCTCACTCTTTTCCTTTTTAGCTTGTTGTCTTGACAGAGGATACAAGCTGACAAACGGGGGCATCCATTACCATAGCACTGCCTAATCTCTGTAATGGCCTCACAGATACAGGACTGGTGTTGAGTGAACACTCACACATATAGAGACACATACAAACACACCTCAGCTCTCTGGACAAATGTACATGAAAAGCCCTGGGGTCAGTGGTCATCCCTGTGTTCAGCCTTCTGTACACACTATAACCTCCTTTACTCACATAGACCATTTTGTATCTCTTGTTCGCTTGCTGTCTGTCTTACACATCCACACACACACACACACACACTCTCATCTACATGGCCAAGCACTTCTCTCTCCTCAGTACCAGCTGAGCAGCACCATGGTTTTGTGGGGAACAGGGGGAGCTCGTTATCCTCATTAATTAATGACAAAAGCGATGTCATTGGCCATCCATAATCTTCCATGCGAAGATGGTGTGACAGGCAGGGCTGGGACCATGTCTACCGTGATTGCAACTCACAAACACACACAGAGAAAATGAAGACATATTTCACCCTGCTTGTGTGTGTGTGTGTGTGTGGCTAATGATGCACTTGAATAGCAAAACTGGCTTGTGCTGTAATTACAAAGTGGTACTAAAAGTTATAACAGAGGGGAATGTGTATATTTATATTTCTTCCATATGAGCCCAACCAAA